TTGCTGCTTTTCTTGATTTGTAATGCACAAAGGGAACACTGTTTACTGAAGACAGTCCCCTGACCCTTTTTCCCAACCAAGTAAGTCCTCCTACCCACCCCGCCATGTTCCTCCAGGACTTCTGGGCTTGCCCTTGGGCAGCTGGGACTCTCAGGTGCCTCTGGACTGGGTCTCAGTCACGATGGCAGTCAGCTGGCCTAGGCATGGCCGGGGCTCTGCCGGCTGGCTGGCCATTCACGTGCCAGACACCTACTAGTCCACTTCGGGCAGAGCACTGCCAGGTCCCTCCAGGCCTCTGGCAATGGTCCCGATTCACCTGGAGGGGTGCTGGCTTCGCACAGTGGGACCGCAGCTCTGGCCCCACAAGTCGGGCCAGCCCCTCTGCCTGGTCAGGCCCAGGGTGCTCGGGGCCATTCTCCATGGGAGGCTTCCTGAAGAGAGGGGTTCCAGGCAGGTCCTGAGGATGGAGAGAGACGAGAGGAAGGGGAAGGGACTCCGGAGGGAGAGTGACCTGGGTTCTCAGGACCCTGCGGTCAGCCTGAACAGATGGGGGCATGGCAGGGGAACAGTGCAGCAGGGAGGCTGCCAGGGCCCTGGGGGCATGCAGAGCCCTCCCGGAAGGAACTTCCTGTAAATCTGAGCAAATGGCGTTTGTTAGGACAGGCTCCTGCTGCCTTGCAGAGGCAGGTCCCCAGAGCACCCGTCTCTCTTCTGAAGAAAAGCAAGATTTACAATAATGCAGTGCATTAGCTCAAGTGGGAGGGCCGTCTGATCCCACCTCGAGGCAGATCAATGCCCTGCTGACGGGCAGCTCTTCAGAGCTGCGCAGGGGTGTGAGGGTGGGCCTTGCCAGTGGGGGCCTGGGAGCAAGAGAGACTGCCCCCCTTTGGCCCCTCCATGGCTGAGCTCACCCCTCCCTCACCTGGCCCTCTGTATATGGTGGGGACACCTTTCCTCCCCAAGGGAGGCAATATCAGCCTCTTACCTCTGCCCACAAAGAAGACCCCAAGTTCCAGGAACCTCCCTGCCATTCTTGGGGTCTGAGAGGGTGGACGTTAGCCAGAACCATGGTCAATAGCACCAGACTCGGAGGTGAAGGCAGAAAACGGCTCTCTCTGATAGGCCAGCGGGGTCAGGCCCAGTCCAATCCCCGGTAACTCCTGCGCCCAGCAGAGCACCTGGCGCACACTACAGACACTTCATACAGTTTAGAAAACTGGCCTGAATTACCGTTATTGGCAACCGAGTTGAACCCAAGTGCTACCAAGTGCTGGGGGAGCGGCCGCCTTGATGCCCTTCTCCCCTTCCAGGGGTGGGAACGCAGGCTAGGGAGAGGAGGGGCCTCCCCACTGCCGCGATGCCCATCCTCCATGCCTGCTCTTGGCCGCAGTCAGCTCCTAGGGGTGACTGGCTGTGCAGGCTCCTGTCAAGGGTGAGACCTGGGAGCTGAGGTCCCTGGCCTGGGCCTGCCCCCACCTCAGCGTCTCCCCTTGGCCTCCGATGGGCTCAGGATCTGGGACTGGGGTCTCCCTGTGCCCTTCATGGCCCCTGCTCCGTGGACTCCAGGACCATTCCCCAGATGTTGTACCCCAACTCTGGGTGCTCCTGGAGCTCAGAGGCAGCAACTCAGCCCTGCCTCTTCGGTCCCTGTCCGTCTCCACACCCCGCTTTCGCTTGCAGCTGCACTGACCTCTGGAGCTCCACCTCCTCCCACCTGGCCAGTTAGGTGGAGGTAGGAGGGGTTGTCCACTGGCTCGGAGAGCCAGACCCCAAGTGTCCTCGCCTCACCTGGTGAGGGACACCAACACTCAGGGGCTCAATTTACATCGGAGGCCAATTCAAACAGCCAGCCTGAAATCAGGGGATTGAACAGGGAAGTGCAATGACCTGGGGCTGTGCTCCACCTCTGACCTCTGAGCTTAGAAAACCAGGCTGGGTGATGTGGAGGGTGCAGGGGCTGGGGGCTGAGGGCCAGACCTGGGTTACGAAAAGGACTGGGTGGGGGTGGGGGATGGGCAGAGGCAGGGTGGGTAGGAGACTGTAGCTGCTCACTTGTGGCCCAGGTCCTGCCTGGTGACCTTGCCCTTCTCCTCCAAGCACTTAACTGGCTGCTTGCTCCCTCTTGGTGGAAACGGAGTAGCCCTGATTCCATCAGCTAAGTGGCTCCACACAGCATCCACTGTTCCCAGGAGGATGGTCCGGGGCGGGGTGTGCCATTCAGCCTCTGTCTATTTTCAGGGCCTCTTTGGGTTAAGTGCTGTGTGGAGCCTGGCCCTTCAGCCGAGGGTCCTTGCGGGGCTGGCATTCTCTGGCCACAGGGCACGTGGGGGCTGGCCTGGGCATCCCGACAGACACCCTTGGGCTGGCAGTTCTAGTAAAGATCGTCTTTCCTGCTGCCAAAGTGCTGTCGGCGAGTCTGTACACAAAAACTCCTCGCAGGATCCCCCCAGGAAAGAGCCGAGAGGCCGCGCCCAGAGCAGGCGCTGCTGGGGTCTTGGCACCACTGGCCCCTGGGCCATCGGGAGGCTGTAGGCGCTGAGCAGCATCGCACACATTCACCCACCAGATGCCAGAAGCACCTCTTCCCCTTCAGTGTGACACCCCAAAACGCTTACAGACATTGCCAAAGTCACCCCCAGGGAGAAGATGGGTGGTAGTCCCACGGGGCTTGGGGTGACCACAGTAAGGTGATGCGAGAGCCCCCGTGTGGGGCATGTTTGGGGCCTGGGGACCCCCAATCACACTGCATGTGGGACCCCAACACCTCTTATTTGGAGGGAATCTTAGGAGAGCCCAGCCCGTCACACAGTGTGCAATGGGGTGAGGGGCTCCCAGGGGAGCCTCACTTCAGGGCAGCTCTGTGCCCTTGACGGTACCTCCAGAGGGGCAGGATGGGGAGGCGGGCAGGCAGGAGGCGGGGGGGGAGGGGGGGGCACGTTCTCCACCGTCCTCTGTGTCTGCCCTCCAAATGAACCTCTGGGCTCTTATCTGCAGCGTGCACACCCCTAATCAGCTGACAGGAGCTTTTACAGATGCTGCTGCTGGGCCTCTTAGCATCAGAGCAGCTGCTCGAACCCCACACCTTTGCTGGGACTGTCCAAGGTTGCCTGTGCCATGGCTCACCCAGGGTGCCAGAGCACTGGGGATGGGGGCAGGGGACCAGGGCTAGGCCTGCTACAGACGCAGGCTCCCCAGCGCGGAGGTGAGGGACACCCTCTGAGGTCACTTCCAGGCCCTGTACCTGCTCCCGGTCTGCACTTAGGGCTGCCCTGGGTTTGGGTTACTGCTGCGTAGGGGCTGGGACGGCCATGTCCATCCCAAGCCTCACGAGGACCCCTCCCATCTTTGGACCAGCCTCCTCCCAGCTCTTTTGCCTGGGGTTGCACAGGCAGTGGGGTCCAGACTGGGGCAGAGCACCTGCCGGACTGGATCCCAGCATCCGGGCAGCCAAAGGGCAGTACCGAGGCCTGAGACACATGGAAGAGGCAGGGTTCAGGCGACAACACCGACAGGGTTAAAATGGCCCCTGTGTCCCATAGGTGGCCTGACCTGCCACTAATCACCAACCCCTCAGCCCAGCCCTGAGCTGCCCAGGCCCCTCACACACCATTGCCCTGTCCCTGTAGGCCCCCAGGAACGGGCCTGTGTGTCCCGAGGCTCCGGGCGCAGGCAGGATGGGCAGAGGGCAGCCGGAGACCAGTGCGAAGTCACCCAGAGCAGCGATTTTCTGCATTTTCCATCTCATGGCACCTACACTAATTACTAGAATTCTGCAGCACACCAAAACATATATTATTTTTTGACGAGCTGACAGAAAAAATAGGTATAATTTTGGTTCATTCACACTGGACGGCTATTGTTGTGTTGGCTGCTGTCATTCTTTTATTTGATAATCTAAGGGAAAAGAGGTCAGTGCCTCTGACTAAATAGTCAGGTGCCACATGTTTTATTTTATTTTATTTTTTATCCTCACCTGAGGACATTTTTCCATTTTTTGTTCAGATAGAGTGGGAGGGAGAGAGAGAGGGAGAGAGAGAGAGAAACATCGACGTGAAGGGACACATCGAATGGCTGCCACCCTCACGACCAACCAGGGCCGGGGACAAACTGCAACCGAGGTACGTGCCCTTAGCGGGAACCGAACCCGGGTCTCTCCGGACCGCAGGCCGCCGCTCTAACCTCTGAGCCAAACCGGCCAGGGCAGGTACTGCATGTTTTAAAATTTCTTATGGCACACTGGTTGAAAATCGCTGACCTAGAGGGTCGGGGGCCAGGTGGACCCCACATCCCCTGCTCTCAGCCCGGCAACCCTACCATCTACAACCTGACCCCCCGGGTCTGCCACCTGGGGCAAGGGCTGCCAGGCTGTGGATGTGGTCATTGGCTGGGGTTGACTCCTCAGTCCGGTCCTTTCCCCTGGGGTCTGCTGGGCCTAGCCTGGCTGAGAGGGGGACGGGGTGAAGGCGTCAAAGCCTCACAGGCCCTTCTGGGTGGGACACAAGCCCACAAGGAGAAGAGGCACCTGGACTCAGGCAGGCAGCACGGGCCAGGGGCAGCTGCCCGGCAGGTGGGGGAGGGGCAGAGGGAGGAGCTGGGCTCTTGGGAACTGTCCCTAAGACCACCCTTACTTCTGACACACTTCAAGCCCAGGGGCCCCACAGAGCCTCTCTGAGCCCGTGCAGCTGGGAGTCCTGTGGGTCCTTCCAGATGGAGGCCAGGGGGCCTGCGTCTCTGTCCTGCAGCTCTCGGAACCGCCCTGCCTCCTCTGGACGGTGGGCAAGAGGCTCCGATGACTCCGAGTGCCCGCTGGGCCCCTGCTCCGCGTGGCTTCTCTCCCGTCTCGCCCATGACTCCTGCTGCTAGAAGTTTCCTGAGGTGGTTGCTCCTGGTCTGAAGCCATCCTCAGAGCCTCCGGGAGGGATTGGGGTCATTAAAGCAATCCTTCACCTCCAGATCCAGAGACGACATGGGACAAGCTGCTGAAGGGAGCCTGCCCCTCGCCCAGCTGCTGTCCGCCCACTTTGGGGGCCGCATCCCTTCGCTGTCCCCTCTCGTCCCCAGGGCTGGATCCCCTGGGAAGTGCTGCATCTGAAGCCACACGCTAGCCCCACGTTGCCTGCCTGGGGTTGAGGGTCAGAAGATGCGCTCTCACCAGGCCTCAGTTTCCTCGTCTGTAAAAAGACTGGACGGGAGGTAGGTGAGGTCCTGCCCTGCCCACGGTGATCGAGCCTCTGGTGTCCTGAAAGGCTCGCCACAAGGGACAGATTGGGGGGGAGAAGGAGAATGTGGGGCCTGGTAACCCCCACATGTGGCCCTGTCGGCAGGTTGTCCTTGCTTCTGGCTGTTGAGCTCCAGGCTGGGTGGGGGCTGGGCTGGGTACCTTCTGCCCATCTGCCCACCCGAGGCCCAGGCATCTGCGGCCTTGTCATGTCAGACTGTTCCTGGCCCTGCTTGGGCAGACGCAAAATCTCTCCTAAATCCTGTATTTAATTTTGTTCTCTGGGAAACTGTAGGAGGTTTTGGAGATAAAGCTGAGCTGATAAGTCGGGGATTTGGCTGTTCTACCCAAAACTCCTGGACTGGGAGGCGGTGGTAGGCGCAGCTGAGTCAGCAGGGCTCAGGAGCCCCCCTCGCTGCACCCTCATCTACAATGTTCAAGGTCAGCAGGCTCCCAAGGGTGATAGGTGCGAAGGACACCAGGGTGGGCTTGACACGCATGGGGGTCAGACCCTAAAGGATGCCAAGGTGCTGTGAGGCAGTGGGGCCATGCATGCAGGGGCTTGGCTGATGCTCAGCTGCCCCAGGGATCTCTTTCTAAGGCCATGCCTTGCCCTGGGGCCATGGTGTCAGTCCCTGCCCTCATGGATGCTCTGCCACTTAGCAAGCACCCCACCCTTTGGAATGTTCTCCTCACCCCTGGTTAGATGCGGGTGTGGGAGGCAGCCCTGCAGAGGTTATTATTTTCAAGGTGGAGCTGGAAAGCCCCTCACTGCATTACCATGTTTTCAAAGTCTGGTCTTTGAGACTTTTCAAGTGTTATCTGGGCCATAAAAATAACATACCCCAAGTAATTGAAAATAGTGTTTAAACAAACATAAATGTTTATATCCATGTTCATAATAGCTCTATTTACAGCAGCCAAAGCCTGGAAACAGCCCAGCTGTCCTTAAAGGACAAGTGGATGAAGTCAGCGTGGTCCCTCCACACAGTAGAATAGTATGCAGCCACAAAAAGGTGTGAAACCCTGATGTCCTACAACATGGATGGGCCTTGCTCCAAGTGAAACAGTCCAGACACAAAGCGCTACATACTGTGTGGCTCCATTTATATGAAATGTCTCAAACAGGCAAATCCACAGAGACAGAGAGCAGACTGGCGGTTGCCAGGGGCTGGGGGTGGGAAGGGTGAGTGACTGCTGTTGGGGTCATGGTTTCCATTTGGGGCGATGCAAAGTTCTGGAACTAAATAGAGATGGTGGTTTCACAACCTTGTGACTGTACTAAGTGCTGCTCAATCAATACACTTTAAAATGATTTTTAAAAATGCCCTGGTCATGCCCTGGCTGGTTTGGCTCAGCGGTTAGAGCGTCGGCCTGCGGTCTGGAGAGACCCGGGTTCGGTTCCCGCTAAGGGCATGTACCTCGGCTGCAATTTGTCCCCGGCCCTGGTCGGTCGTGCGGGTGGCAGCCACTCGATGTGTTCCTTTCACATCGATGTTTCTCTCTCTCTCTCTTCCTCTCTCTCCCTCCCACTCTACCTGAACAAAAAATGGAAAAATGTCCTCGGGTGAGGATAAAAAAAAAAAAAAAAAATGCCCTGGTCAGTTTTGCTCAGTGGTTAGAGCATCAGCTGTGGACTGAGGGGTCACAGGTTCAATTCCTGGTCAAGGGCACGTACCTGGGTTGCAGGTTCGATCCCCAGCCCTGGTCAGGGTTGTGCCAGAGGCAACCAATCAATGTCTCTCCCACAACGATGTTTTTTCTCTCTCTCCCTTCTATTCTATCTAGAAATCAATGGGAAAATATCCTCGGGTGAGGACTGAAAAAAAGAAAGACAAATTTTCTGTTATGTGTGTTTTACCACAATAAAAAAGTGATGATAATAAAAACAAATGTGTCTACAAGGCTTGCTACATGCTAGGCGCTGTCTCAGTGTTGCTTCTGCCTCACTGTTCTCGTTGGCTCACGTTTACAGAATGGGGGGCGGGCACAAGGGTCGCTCTCCCGGGTCGCTCTCCCGGGTCACCTGGAGAAGAACGGGCACTCCTGCTCTGCTGGCAGGGGGTCCACCTCCGGGCCCCCCTCTGCGCGCCATCGCTGTCCTGTTCTGTGTCACTGGGCGGAACTTTCTTCGTAAAGCCAATTTTATATCTCCAGGTCGGTCCACCCTGTGTCCAGCACCTCCGTTTTTGTCCGTAGTCTGACCTTTATCTGCCTCCTGCAGTTGGAGTCTTCATATTATTTCCTTTTATTCTGGACTTTTATAGCTTCTTCTAAAAATGCTTAGTTAGTTGGGGGGGTTGGGAGGGGTGGTGAGGGTTAAAGCCCCTCCCCGTGGGCCCTCTCAGGGTGGGCGAACAGGACAGGGAGCCCGGCAGGTGCACCTCACTGGCCGGCTCCGGGACCCTCCCAGCCCTCTCTCCCACCTGCAGCTGGCCTCTGCACCCCGATGGGCTGGGGCACCGCCCAGGGAGGACACCGCGCTGGGGCCGGCAGGGACACGTCCTCTGTGGGAACCAGGCCGGGGAGGGAGGCTGCTCAGGTACGGAGCTGGCCATGCCGGGAGTTGCACACACCATCTGCCCCTGTTCTCAAACAGCCACACGGGAGGAACTGCCCTGCCCCTGATCACATGTGAGGGCCCCGAAGGCCACACAGCCTCGGGCGCTGTTGTCCAGATCTGCTGCTCACGCCACAGACCTCCAGAGCCCAGCCATAGGGGGGGGCATCTCGAGTGAGTGGACCAAGAAGTCAACAGCTGCCAGGGGCTGGGCTGAGCCCCCCTCCTATCACCAAATCCTGGAGGTGGACAGAGCTGCCCAGGAGCCACAGAGAGAACCCACTTCCTGGCGGATGAACTGGGTGAGTCACATGTGTGGTGTTCTCCCTGGGTGAGGAGTGCACAGGGCAGAGTTGGTGGTCCAGAGTCCCCACCTTCTGCCCACTGCCCAGAGGCACAGGCTGGGGAGCTGGGAGAGTGAGTCCTCAGTCTCCCTCCGCTTCCCGCCCCCCTTGGCTGGGCGCCAGGTCTCTGGCTGCGCGCCAGGTCTCTGGCTGCATCCTCACTCCCTGCATAGCCTCCCTGCACATACTCACGGCCTCTGTCTCCTCCTTTGGCCCTCCCAAGCCGGACGCCTCCCCAGGGAAGGGGACTTTCCAGCTGCCTGGAGGTCAGCTGGGGATGGAATACCCTCGTCTCCTCCCTGCAGCCTTGAAGGTGCCTCAGCCCCAGTCCTGACTGTGTGCTCTTCAAACCTCAGTGAAGGGGACCCTTCCTCCAGGGAGCCCTCCTGAGCCTCCCTCCACTGAACCTGCCTCCTGTCCATTCTCTGGGTTAATACACCTGGAGGAAGGAGTACTCTTCCTCCCTCCTGCATGTGGGGTAGGGGCAGCACCTTCCCGTCCCTGCTCCTTGGCTTCTCAGACAACCCGTATCTGCTGTGACCGTGGCCGAGTTCAGGGCTGTCTGAGCCACTTCAAATTCTCCTGTTATTAAAATGTTCCGCTGGCCCCAGAGGGAGAGCCAGCGACGTGCCTCAGGCCCAGCCTCGGTAGGTGGAACTGTTCAGAGGCCAGAGCTCCAGGTGGGACATTGTGGAGGACACAGCTGGGGGTCTGAGAAGGCCAGATGGTCAAGTTTCTTTTCCAGTGCCCTGAGGTGCCTCAGGGCCCCTCTGCCTTCCCGTCTGTGACCCTGGGCTCATCATGGCTCCCTGGGTCTCTCGGGGCGCAGTTGTGGAGCTGCGAAGTGACAGGCTCCAAGGCGGGCCTCGGGGGGCTGGGCTGGACCCACCAGGCCCACCACGAATGGCGATGCAGGAGGCTGCAGGGCAGTTCTGGGGCACTGGTCACCACTGTCCCACTTGTGGCCGCCCTGCTTTGGGCCATGCCCTTGGCCCTGTAGCCACTTCCCAACTGACCGTAGGCCAGGTCTGCAAGATGCCCTCTGGGAGCCCAGGGTGGAGGCCAGGGTCCAACCTGCCCTCCAGGCCCTGGGTGGGTTCGTTCCCTCCTAACTGTCCCTGTCACAGGGATGCCCGGTCACGAAGCCATGCTCACTCCCACAAGCTCCACTGCAGCCTGGTGACTCTGGCCCTGCTCTACTCCCGTCTGAGTCCCAGCTGGGATGCTGCTAGAGGCAGAGCACCCTTCCTGACCACCGGCTGCCTGGAAACTCACTGTCTGCCTGCTAGGGGCCCAGCTGACCTGTCCCACCCCAAGTCCATGAAAGGGATGCTGAGGGTCAAAAGGTCCAAGCGCAGGGTGCAGAAGGTCCAAGCTGGGGACCTGGGTTTGCCTCCACCCTGCGAGGGGCTTCCCAGAAACAGTGGGACTCGCATCCTCAGTGCTGACTCTTGCTGGGGTCCTGTGGCTGAGGCTGAGCTGAGGCCTGCATGCGAATCCTGCCTGCTGCCTCCCAGTTGTGTGGCCTGTCTATGACTCAGTGTCCCTTCTGTGCACAGGGAGGGTAACCACCAGGGCCCATGTGGTAGCCAGGTCCAGGAGGCCTGAGGGTGCCGGAGCAGGGCCAGCACGCCAGCTCCTGAGGCTGAGTATCATTACCCCCCCCCCCCCGACAAGCCATCTGCCTTTTCCTGCTTCAGTTAAAAGATCAGGGTCTGGGTTCATAAGAGGGGGCTGATCCCAGAGGGGAAAGCACATGTGGGGTGTCCTCCAGAGCTGCCCTGGAAGGAGGGTATGCCTTGTCCCTGGGGGTGTGCAAAGAGAGTCTGGGGGGAAGTGATGGGGCCTCATGACCTTCCTGACCCCACTGCAGGCTCCAAGCTTCTGTCTGAACACTGATGGGAGAAGGATGCCAGGCAAGGACCTCGTCCCCAGGAACCTCGGCATGTCCCAAGACTCAATTTTCCTGTTGCAAATGCAATTTGGAAACAAATAAATTCAATAAGCCCTTGTGCCCACTGCCCTCATCCAGCCTCCGCTCCACACCGACACATAGCAGTACCCACCCCGACACACAGCCATACCCATCCGGCCTGTGCAGCCGCACGCCCTGATTAGCCTGGCTGGAGAGTCACGCCCAGAGACCCCTTGAGGCCTGGGAGGCTGTATAGGGTGGGAAGGAGCCGACTGAGCACTGGTCATTCCCAGCACTGGGTGTTAGACCAGCTGTGGCCACTGCAATCCCACACAGGGCTGGCATAACCCTGCTCCCCAGAGGGGAAACTGAGGCTCAGAAAATGCCTGGCCACGTGGCAGACTAGGTTAGGGCCAGATTCCAACCCAGGAGTCTTTCTGGAGTATCTTCACCCTCCCAGTACCTCCACCTTTGGACCAAGGGCTGGGAGGTCTGGAGGTCTGCGGCTAACGGATAAGGGCCCAGCCCCCTGATAGGCAAAGTCCTGCAGGTCCAGCCTCACTGCGGCTGGGTCAGCCCAGAGCCCCCGCTTTGGAGACAAGGGGAGTTAAAGTGGGACTGCCACACAGGCAGGAGCACCCCCGACACTTGCTGGCCCAGGGTCGTTTCAAGGTCACCAAGCTCTGCTTCAGCCCTAGAGGGTCCTGGGAGGGGAGCCCAGGCGTCTCGGCACACTCTGACCACGGGCAATCTGTGTGAAAAGCAGGTTCTAAGAAGAGGAGAGTGGTCCCCCCCTTAGTGGCCCTGTGTGTCTGCTGCCCCCTGGAGACAGGCTCAGAGAGGCTTGAAGATGTTCCTCAGGCCACAGGGGCAGGCTGGCTCAGTCGGGGCTGGGAAGTCTCAAGCTCCAGTTCTCAAAGGCCCGTTCTATGCAAATGCCACCAGCACAGTGAGAAGCCAGTGTCCAAGGAGGGGGGCACCTCTGAGCTACGCCGCCGCCGCCGTCAGGAGCCCAGGCTGGTGTATCTGAGGAGGTCCTGGGCTCCTGGGGCCCTGGTGGGGGTGGGGCAGGGGCAGGGGCAGGGGCAGGGCTTCTCCAGACGATGCTGGGAGGTGGATGTCCGGCTAGGAGGACTGGAGAGGGGAGGGTTGGGGTCCCCTGGGAGGAGCCCAGGGCTGGAGGGGTCAGGGACCATA